GCAGAGTAGTGTTAAACGCTCTGGAAACCTTTAAACTTTGTCAGTTAAGATTTTGCCTTCAAACAAGCTAGGCACTTAAATAAGGCTTATGCTAGATTCTATCACTAGTACAGATACAGAAATGATTTTTACAAATGTTACTATCCTTGAGGTGGCACGTCTTGCAGGAGTTCATTTTATAGATATAGTTTTTATTTTTTATAGATACATCTGGTGGTGTAAAAGCTAGATGGCTGCCCCAAGAGACAACGTGGATGAAGAATTGATGAATATTATCAACACCGGCACTCAATTTGCCGATGATGACCAGCAGGATGTAGATGATGGGAGTCAATACCTAGCTCTTGAAGATAACCAAGAAAATATTGTGCAAGAAAATACAGGCGAGGTATATATATTTGAATATTATATATATATATTTGAATATCTATCATCTATTATATGTAGCCCTCTCGATCGATGACAACAACGGCGAAAAGCAAAAAAATTCAAGGCCCGAAAAAGCCATTGGAGGGGCGCTACATAATATCGGAATTCAATATCGAGACAGGCGAACTACTTGGTCCACACGCAAGGAAATCCGTGCAACACTGTGGGTGCCTTGTAAGGGACAGACTTCCGATTAGTGCCCGTGAATGGAAGCAAAAGATCAACGAGCCTCATGTTAGTTTTGTCTCTGATCTTGATAAGAATTTAATTTGGGATGATATTCTTCAACATTTCACGTTGCAAGCGGATGATTATGATGCTATCAACGATGATGAATTGAAGGAACTAGTTCAAAAGTGGGCTATGAAGAAGATGGCCACACAATTTTAGACTTGGAAGAAATCCCTATACACAAAATACGTCAAGAAGAACGTAACACCCAATTTCAATACTAGTGGCCCGCTCACGAAGTTGAGGCCCTACTGGAATGATTTTGTACAGTACAAGACATCGGAAGAGGGTGAGAAACGGGTGAGAAGAAACCAAGAGAATGCCCGACAGAAGGTATACCACCATGGCATTAGATCTGGTGGCTACGCGACTGCCATTCCCAAGTGGGAAAAAATGGAAGTGGACATTCTTGCTAAGGGTATCACACCAGAATCACTCAATTGGCCCAAACGCGCGAAGAATCACTCATGGGGAAAGACTAGACCTAGAGACCGGGAAGCTGGTTCATGGCTCAAAACTCGAAAGAGCAACACAAAGATTATCTTATGCTCTACAAGCTAAAACTATTGGTGCGTTCAGGCCCAATAGAGAGAAGGATGAACTAACGTATGCCCTTGGGACCGCTGAACACAGTGGCCGAATGAGAGGTTTAGGACGGAATATTTCTTGGGAGCATGGTTTCCCTGACGACAGAGATACCTATAAAAGCCGGCAGAGAAGGAAGGATGAGGATGCAGCGCGGATCAGCAGGTTGGAGGAATTGATTTGTGAGTCATGGGAGGCGTTGCTTCAAGCACAGGAGCGCGAAAAAGACATGCAAGCTAGAATGCAGGACGAAACCATAAAGCAAGTGCAAATAGCAATGAGTGCCCAGAGGCAGGCATCCGATCTAGGAATGAACATTAATATTAGCTCCCCTGATCAGTTGAAAAGCAGCTGCGCTTCCACGGAGTTGCCAAATCAAGATGACACAATGCTACGTTTCCCCGTGGATGACATCACTGCACCATTTACATCATGAGAGCTACATATTCCAAAAGAGAATGCCACAATTATGGTGGCTCTCGGTGTTTTTTCTCCTCCAGATCCTACCAAGACACCAAGAATACATGGGGCAATAATACCACCTGGATATGTTAGCGTTTCAGTGGATTGAGTTAACAAAGGTTTTAGTGACCTGCCTCTTGACATTCTAGGAAGTGATGGGGAGAAGACTCTAGGAGAAGCAGAGAAAACATTCATACTATGGCGCAAGCGCTACATCATTATTCCCGGGGTCTCTAGTCCACCGCCGCTTCCTCAACTGCCAGACAATAGGTGCGGACAAAAGTGAACGAAACAATTTTTTCATAAACTTTCTATTGACATGCATGATTAATAATAATAATTTCTTATACCTAATTATTCTTTTTTGTAATCACACAGCAGGGCCTCCACCAACCTAAGTCCAATTATCCAATCTCTAGATCATCATAGTGCTCCGGGCAATCAGGTGGCAACATCGCCACCGCCGCCACCTCCAAGGAGGTCTCCAACGCCTCCAACGGCTACCCCGCCTCCCTTGATGACTAAGAGGAAGCCAGCTCCTAAGAGGTCCGCCCCGCAAACAAAGTCGTTGTCCCACTAGCCGGCAAAGAAGAAAGCCTCATCTAATCCAGTTATTCCCCAAAAACTGTCTTTCGAGAAAAGTGAAAAGGAATTAAAAGCTATAGTAAAAAAAGATGTGGACAGTTTCTTCGAAAAAGTAAAAAAGCAACGAGAAGAGATGGAGAACCCGGAGAAATCATACTTCTACCTACCTCCAGATCTTCTAAGAAAGAAGGTGGACCAGAAAAAGCGGGAATCTCAAAAGACCCGGCCAAAATCGGACTATGACCGCTCTCTCACTAAGTCATTTGAGGCGGCGCAGAAAAAGACTAGACCAGGGAAAGGTGTTGCACAACTCGGACAACAATCGCAACAATCAGTCACCCCCCTTGTCGTTCGTAATGAATATGGTTCGAACTTAGACTTAGACGTCGATTTTGAGGAGCTGGCTCGGTTTTACGAGGAAACTGGTTTGGACCTTGCCCAAGTGCTCGCTGAAGGACCATCTGCTCCAAAAGTGGATCCTTGGAAGAAATTTAAACGTGGAAAGAGTCTATGCAACCCTGAGGCCTTAGGTGAACTGGGTACACAAATGTACCTGCTAAACAAGTGGTACATGGCGGCGTGTGAACAGGGAGAGGCCTTTGTTACTATCAGAGTTAGAAACCAACATTACTTCCATGGCGCTGACGTTATATATGTCGAGTTTGAAGAATTACACCAACTATGCCACCTGGACTCTCTCGATAAAAGTCTCATTAGCTACAATTGTCTGTAAGTGTGATTATTTTCTACTATTAAAGTGTGTATATATAAAGCTACATGTATATATATACATTATATATCCTCACACTATATTTTTATATATGCAGATAAGAGATGACAGAACTCAGAAAGAGAAAGGATAATGATGTTGGTTTCGTTGATCCAAATGTCGTATTCATACACCCTAATCCCCCGCCTCAATGGAAAGCTGAACTCGAGAAAAATCTCATGAGGTTCTTCGTGAACCAACAAAACAAGGACATACTCTTCCCCTACAACTTCAAGTGAGTGTTAAATAATTGATGTCGATCATATGGACATTTGTTCAATTATTTGCTTACTAGCTAAGCTATCTCCCATATATATACATATATGTTGACTCTAGTTAATGCCGATCATATTTGTATAAAAACATATGCAGCAATCACCGGATATTGATGGTCATCGATATGACCAATAGTCGGTTGAGAATCATAGACTCATTAAGAAAAGAGCAAACAGAGTATCAAGACATGATAGATATTATCCAAGGATAATATGGTCTCTCTAGGAACTATATATACCCCGATCTCTTAACTGCAACAATTATTAAAGACAAAATTAATGTTTTATTTTATTGGGCGTAGTGTTTGGAAAAGTTTCATTGAGAATCACCACATGAAACATTGCAAAGCGCCACTGAATGTAATCGCACACAAAGTAAGTACTATCTACATTTATATATATATAATTCAATTAACACCATGCATGCTTTCAATTCACCGGATCTTTTTTCTCGTAAAAGTGGGTTCTGAGGCAAGAACAGGGGAACAACTACTGCGGATACTATGTTTGCGAGTTTATCGGGGCGTACACAAAAAGAACTCCTGAAGAGATCCTCAAAGTATGTTATATAAATATATTCATATATTCACAATTTCTTTTGTTGCTCATATATATAAGTAATCAAGTGACCAACACACACACACATATATATATATATATATTAATACTTTTCCTTTAACTTTTATTGAAGACTCTATGGTTGAAGGAAAAAGTCATATGACGTGACCAACTGAAAGCAATTCAAGAGACCATAGCAGGATTTCTTAATGACCAGGTCCTCAACTCCGTCGGCGAGTTCTACAATGACGTCAACGAAACATGGAAGGCAAACTAGATGAAGTGATTTTGTTATCCCAAGGATATGATAGAATATACAATGCAACCTTTATTTGTAATATATATATACACACAAACATACATACATATTATATGTACATAAAATAACGTACAATATATGTATATGCATGTAATATATACGTTAGTTTCATATTTTAGTTTGTACAAAATGTTCGAACATTATAAACGTGTAGAATACGTATATTATTAGCAGCGTAGAATACGTATTCGAAAACCTATTTGAAAACCAAAACGAATCATCAATTGAAAATAGAAACAAAAAAAACAAAAAAAGAAAACCTTTAGTCCTGGTTGGTAATACCAACTGGGACTAAAAGGCCGCCCCACGTGGCCAGACCGGGAGGCTCTTTAGTCCCGGTTGGTCTTACTAACCGGGACTAAAGGTGCACCTTTAGTCCCGGGCGCGAAACCGGGACTAAAGGAGGGGACCTTTAGTCCCGATTTCATACTCCCGGTTCCAAAACCTGGACTGAAGGCGGTTGAGAACCGGGAGTACAGCCCGTTTCTCCACTAGTGTATAGCATTATGGTAAGTATTATCTTGAATTATAGTAACCCATATATCGTAAATATGTATTGTCATTATCATAAATTGGTACAAACATTATCGTAAATCAAGGTGGCCATAGAATAAGTTATTCTATTATATATATATATATATATATATATATATATATATATATATATATATAGATAGATAGATAGATAGATAGATAGATAGATAGATACAACATCTATAGATAAAATAGGAAATTGACAATCAAAGCATAGATACAACATCTCATATCATGGGTATATATATCCAAATCAAATGGACTTTTTGATCGACAGGAGTGTCCCTATGATCCCGCCAACCGCACCAATGCCGGTGACAACCGCGGCGATGGTTTTCTTGTGGTAGTGGACGAACGCGTGCAGCTTTGTCTTCATCCGGCTATTGTCCCTGTAGTTCTTGATCTGTTTCATGATGCGAGTGTAGCATGGTCCGAAGCGCAGACCTTGGACGCTGGTGAAGAAGGCGAGCGCCTCCGAGTTGGTGAGCCCTCCTCCTCTCTGCAGGAGACCCCTCTCCCGTAGCTCCTGCACGTCCTCCTCCCTGTATACCAAATTGGCCAGGAGCATAACGTAGGAGCAGACAGCAGAGTCCTCATCTCTCGCACTCCTAGCTCCGAAGCTTTCAATCGTGCACAGCTCGAAAGCCGCCATGCTGACGAGGTGGCTTGCACGGTGGCGGTCCAGGGACAACGGCGCCAATGAGAGCTCAATGAAGACATCCCCTTTCTGATTGAGATGCATGTCAAGGAGCTGCATCGTCTTGTTGGCCTTGAGCGTGATGCCGATTTCGGCAAGGTCCATGGCACTGACAAAAAACGACAAGTTCTTGGGTTCTTCGTCCTTCTCCTTATCAATGTAGCTTCTTCGTCCAACAATGTAGTAGTGGAGGAGGCCAAGGAGATGCGGCGGTCTGTATTCATCATCCCAGTTAAAAGACTCTTCTTCTTCGGGACGCTCACGATGGTCGTCTGGCTGCATACAGTACCTTAATTTATATACGAACCTCTTGGGTATCGATGGCCCATCTGGGTCATCCTCTGCCATGAAGCTCAGGACTTTCTCGACCACCTTCCATGGGAGCTGGTTCTCAAGTAGCATGACATCATGAAATATATTGGTAAGCTCCCGTGTATTCTGTCACGGCCGGAAGTACCCTGCATAGCCATGTACTGCACCAAGAAGCAAGCATCAAAGAACATCATATGTCGGAAGTCATCATAGCTGATACCTTCAATCACATCCTTGTCGTAGAAGCGGCGAGCATCATCAGCGACGGAGACGAACTTTTCATACATCTCCTCCAGTAGCTGGACGTCCCCGATGCAGTGGCAGGCGGCGACGTGCTTCACTTTCTCCGCCTGCTTGAGGTGCTCCAGGCCATGGTGGTAGGGGCCGATGGCCACGATCCTTGGCACGGTATAAGACTTGTCGACAGCTCCAAGGCATGTAGGGTATCTATGCATCTTCTGTTTCATCATGTCCATATTGTTGGCCCACAGGATCACCGGCTCAGACGAGTGAACCACTCAGCCGATCTTGTCGAGCACCCGCTAGTGTTGCAGAGCACCCACTAGCCATGCCGACCACGAGTAAGCGTTGTCCGTGCCACGCACTACGACGAGAGCTAGAAGAAGAAGGGAGAACAGAGCAAGCACGCACAATACAAGACACCTGCGTTGGCCGAAGCCCTGTCTGTGTGATGGCAAATCTGAACTCTCTTTACTGAGTTGCCGTGATGGTCTATTTATACAACTCTATCTATCTAGTCCTAGTACAGCCCACATGCTGTAACAGTAACTAGATAACATAGAGGGCTGACTCTGCGCCGGCCACTGCATGGCTACAGTGCTGCAGGTGAGCCGTACGACGCCTGCACCTGCAGCGGCTACAGTATCACAGCAGGGGGCCAGTTCGGCGTCGCCTTCCCTTACTGTGTTCACACAAGGTAACAGTAGATTAGCTAACAATCTTCCCCTAATCCTACTGCTAACCCTTGTACCCCTTCCATGCCGATCATCTCCTTCAGCTTCGTGAGTCGAAGTCGTCCGAGTGGCTTGGTGAGAACGTCCACGAGTTGCCAACCAGTTTCGACGAACTCGATGACGATCTGCCCTCCATCAACATAGTCCCTGAGGAAATGGAACTTTATGTCAATGTGTTTACTCCGGTCGTGCAGAACCGGATTTTTCGCGAGGGCGATGGTGGGCTGGTTGTCCACCATCAGTGTTGGTGGATGAGCTTCCACACCGGTCAGCTCGCCCAGCAGCCGACGTAGCCATACAACTTGGCACGCCGCTGTGGCTGCCGCTACGTACTCTGCCTCGCACGTAGATAGTGCCACTAACTTCTGTTTCAGCGACAGCCATGAAATTAGGGCCGACCCGAGGAAGACAAGCACGCTAGAGGTGCTCCGTCGTCCGTCGATGTCCCCCGCCATGTCTGCATCGTCGAACACTGTGAGCTGCAGCCTATTCCCGCCAGTCTTTGGGAAGATGATCCCATGATTCACCGTCCCCTTTATATAGCGCAGTAGCCGCTTCACCGTAGCCTAGTGATCCTCCATGAAGCGACTGACGTAGCCCACGGCGAACGCAAATGTCTGGCCTCGTGTGGACTAGGTAGCGCAAACCGCCGACGATGCTCCGGTAGAGTGTTGCATCCACCTTCGCTGCGGTACTGGCCTTCGTCAGCTTTAGCCGCTCCTCCATCGGAGTCACGCATGGCTTGCACTCCACCATGACGCTCCTCTCCAACAGCTTGGAGGCATACACGCTCTGACTGAGCGTGAGTTTCTCTTTCCCCTGTCTCACCTCGATGCCGAGGTAGTAGGAGAGTGCGCCGAGATCGCTCATTCGGAAACGAGCCACCATCTCGCGCTTGAAGCTGTTGATGTCCTCCGTGCGCGCGCTGGTGATGATTAAGTCATCCACATACACGCCGACCACAAGCTCTTCCTTCCTCCGTTGTCGCGTGTAGAGCGCGTGCTCGGTTGCGCACCTTTGAAAATCAAGCTCGCCCAGCCTGGCGTCAAGCTTGGCGTTCCATGCTCGAGGGGCTTGCCGCAGCCCGTAGAGCGCCTTGCGCAGTCGGAGCACCCTGTGCTCCTCTCCCTTGACGGCGAAACCTAGGGGTTGCCTGAAGAAGACCGTTTCCGCCAGCTCGCCGTTGAGGAAGGCCGATTTAATGTCCAAATGATGGACGCGCCAGTCTTTTGCTGCTGCCAAGGCTAGTAGTAAATGAACTGACTCCATGCGCGCTACTGGTGCAAAGACCTCCTCGAAGTCAATGCCCTCACGCTGAACAAAGCCTCGGGCGACGAGGCGCGCCTTGTGCTTGACAATGGCGCCGAGCTCGTTCCTTTTGACCTTGTACACCAACTTCAGGCTGATCGGACGGTATCCTAGAGGTGGATCGACGAGCTGCCAAGTCTCGTTTTCTTCGATTGCCTTCATCTCCTCCAGCATCTCCCGTCGCCAGTTTTCATCGCGCTCGGCTAGCGCGAACGTGGGTGGTTCCTCTGCGCTGACGAGTAGCAGCTCTGCGTCGTTGAGCAGCATGCCCGCCAGACCTGAGGGACCTGTGCCGCCGACGATGTCATCCAGCATGCGGAACCGCACCTCCTCACCTTCATGGTAGGTGTCCACGAACTCAGTGATGTCACTTGGAGGTGAGGTGAACTCGATCGGCGTTGATGGAGCTCCCTGTTCCGCCGGAGTGCCCGACATAGCACCTGAAGTGCTCGGCACTGCTTCTGGACAGCTTGTCATAACTCCAGCAGTGTTCGGCCACAATGTAGGAGTGTCCAGCCTCAGTCTTGGAGTGGTCGGCACCACTGCAAGACGTCTTGGCTCTGCTACGGGAGTGCTCGACACCCATCCTGGAGTGGTCGCCACCACAGCAAAACCTCTCGGCACCACTCCTGGCGTGCTCGGTATCCCTCCAAGAGTGCTCGGCACTACCCCAGTAGTGCTCGACTCTACCGCCGGAGTGCTCGGCCCTCCTCCTGGAGTGCTCGGCACCTGTTCCGCGGCGTCTCCACCGCCGTGGATGACCAAGTGCTCGACGATGAAGGTGTTGGTGAAGCTGTCGACTTCCCCCGTGCTCAGACTGCTCCAGTCCCAAGCCGCTTCCTCGTCGAACACAATGTCGCGCGAGACAAGCACTTTGTCTCCGCGTGGGTCATAGAGCCGGTACGCCTTGGTACCCTCCGCGTAGCCTAGGAACACCATCGATGTGCTCCTGTCCTCCAGCTTGGTGAGGTTTAGCTTTGTCTTCCAGACGTGGCCGATGCAACCGAATATCCGGAGGAATGACACGTTCGGCTTGCACCCGTACTAAGCTTCGAACGGCGTCTTGCCCATCAGGGCCTTGGTTGGAGCACGGTAGAGGATGAACACCGCCGTGGTCACCGCCTCTCCCTAGAATTTTGCCGGCATGCATTTGGCCTTCATCATGGATCAGGCCATGCCGACCACCATCTGGTTCCGCCTATCCACCACGCCATTCTATTGTGGTGAGTACGGCGCAATGTGGTGTTGCCCCACACCATGATCCGCATAGTACGCAACGAACTTCACCGAAGTGAATTCACCATCGCGATCAGTCCTCAGCACGCGGAGCTTCTTGCTGCTCTCGGCCTCCGCACGCGTCTTGAACTTCTTGATCGCCGCCGCCGCTTCATCCTTGCTCGTCAGGAGTTGCAGCCATATGTCACGACTGTAATCATCCATGAGCAGGAGGAAGTACCGCCGACCACCGTATGTAGCAGGCGTGATCGGCCCGCAGAGGTCGCCGTGAACGAGCTCAAGAGCTTCTTTCGCGCGATGCTTGGCCGCCTTTGGGAAAGGTAGCCTCCTCTGCTTCCCGGCCAGGCAGCTGTCACACAGCTTGCCTCCGTGCTTGATGTGGGGTAGTCCTCAGACCATCTTCTTCAGCCGACCAAGTGCGTCGAAGCTGAGATGTCTGAACCGGGCATGCCACATCCACGGTTCCTCGGAGTGCCTTGCCGCCATGCACACCGACTGCTCTACCTTCAGGTCGAGCAGGTACAACTGGTTCAGGGACCTCTTCACCTTCGCAAGAAGTCACTGCTCCCGGTCCCTGATCCTAAGGACTCCGTCCTTGATTAGTACCTTGCAACCGCGCTCATCCAGTTGACCAATGCTGATGATGCTGAAACGCAGCTGTGGGATGTAGTATACATCCGTTAGCGTGCGGTGCTCCCCGTTCTGGCATCTGAAGATGATGGTGCCGCGCCCTTGGATAGCCACCCTTGAGCCGTCACCAAACTTTACCATACCGGTAACATCGCCGTCGAGCTCGGAGAAGGATTCCTTGGAGCCCGTCATGTGGTTGCTAGCACCAAAGTCCAGATACCACCGCTGCTCCTGGTCGGCGCCCACACGCCCAAGGTGAACTTGGGCGCGTGGTTCGTCGAGGTTGACGGTCTTCAGGGCCCTCCCAGGTCCCTCCACCGTCGTCGCCTCTTCCTTCTCCTCGGCCTCGACGTCGTGCAGTGCACAGAACGTCGCCATCAGGATAGTGGCCTCATCCTCATCATCAGCTCACGCCAGGTGAGCTTCAACCTTCTTCTCCAACTTGCGATTTGGGCACTCCCGTGCCCAATGGCCCATCTTCCCACAACGCCGGTAGGCATTGGGGTCGACCTGCTTCTTCTTTGAAGAAGCCCTGTCGCGGTGCTTGCTCTTGCCACCGCGACTGGAGGGGGCTGCCTTCCCGGAGTTCCTCCGAGCAGCACACTCATCTTCCATTAGCAGGAGTTTTCCGCTATCCTTCATTGCTGTCGCCTGCTCCAGGCGCTCGTCCACTATCCGCAGACGGCCTGTCACATCCTCAATGGTGAGGGTGGACAAGTCCAGCATCGTCTTTATGGAGAGAGCGATCTGGATGTACTTGGTCGGAACGGAGTGGAGGTACTTAGAGACTGCCTCCTCTTCGTCGATGGTGATGCCATGGCCCTTCAGCTTGCTGATGAGCGTCTGCAGGCGGAGGAAGAAGTCCTCCACCGTTTCACCATCCTTGAACTTGAGGAGAGCGTACTCCTACTTCAGAAGCTGGGCCATCGCCTTCTTTGCCCGGTCGGAACCGACGCGCATCGCCGCAATAGCCTCCCACGCCTCCATAGCCGAGCTTTTCGTCCCCAACGGCTCCCTGTACTCCGCCGGTACAGCAACGAGGATAGCCTCCAACGCTGACATGTCGTCCTCCTCATTGTCGGTGCCCTTATCAACAGCATTCCAAAGCCGTCAGGCTCTGAGCTTGACCTTCATGGTCACCGACCACTCTCCATAGTTGGTGCAAGTCAGCGTTGGCCAACTGGTGCCGCTGACCTCCCGCACCGTGCGAACAACGACCTCCCCTCATGGCTGGGCAGCCACAGCAGTGCCACTGCTGTCGCCCAACTCCGAACCGCCCGTCATCGCCATCGATTAGAATGGCGACGGCACTCGTACGGCTCTGATAC